CCCTTCAGCCCAAACTGGTCCATGCTGACCATGGTGCCCTCTCAGCTAGTTCCATTTGGTCCATATCCCACTAAACCCTTCCCATCCATGAACCTATCCAAATGTTTTTTTTTAATGTTGCTATTGTCTCTGACTCAACCACTTTCTCTGGCATCCCATTCCATATATACACCACTCTGTGCTGAAGAAGTTGCCCCACGTGACTTCTTAAATCTTTCCCCTCTCACCTTAAACCTATGCCCTCTAGTTTTCAATTCCCCATCCCTTGGAAGAAGACTATATGCATTTGTCTTATCTATGCCCCTCATGATTTTATTCACCTCAATAAGGTCACCTCTCATTCTCCGACGTTCCAAGGAATGAAGTCCTATCCTGGTCAACCTCTTCTTATAAGTCAAGCCTACTAGTCCTGACAACATCCTCGTAAATATTCTTTGCACACTTTCTAGTTTAATTATGTCTTTCCTATAATGGGGTGACCAAAACTGTACACAATACTCCAATTGAGGCCTCACCAATGATTTATACAACTGTAACACAATGTCCCAACTCCTACACTCTATCCTTTGACTGACGAAGGCCAGCATGCCAAATACCTTCTTCACCACCCCGTCTACCTGTGATGCCGCTTTCAACAAACTACGTACTTGTGCTCCTAGGTCTGTCTGTTCCACATCACTCCTCAGGGACCTTACCATTTACTGTATAAGTTCTACCTTGGTTTGACTTTCCAAAGTGAAACACGTCACACTTATTTGCTTTGATTGCATTTGCCAATCCTCAGCCCACTTCCCCATCTGATCAAGATCCATCTGTAATTTTTGATAACTTTCCTCGCTATCAATGATACCCCTTAATTTTGTATCATCTGCAAACTTACTAATCATGCCTTGTACATTCACAACCAGATCATTTATGTAAATAGCAAACAACAAAGGTCCCAGCACCGACCCCTGTGGCATGCCACTAGTCACAGATGTCCAGTCCGAGAAACAACCTTCAACTATCACCCTCTGCTACCATCGAGCCAATTTTGAATCCAATTAGCTACCTTTCCCTGGATCCCGTACAACCTAAACTTCATGACTAGCCTGCTGTGTGGGACCTTGTCAAAGGCCTTACTAAAGTCCATATAGAGAACATCTACTGCCCTAATCTCATCTATCCTCTTTGTTCGCTCTTCGAAAAACTCTAAAAGATTTGTCAGACATGACTTTCCGTGGCTATCCCTAATCAGACCTTGACTATCCAAACGTTGGTTGATCCTGTCCCTCAGTATCCTCTCCAATAACTTGCCTACCACTGATGTCAGGCTCACTGGCCTGTAGTTCCATGGCTTGTCTTTGCTACCTTTCTTAAAAAATGGAACAAGATTAGTCACCCTCCAGTCTTCCGGAACTTCACCAGTGGCTTAAGATGAAGCAAAAATCTCTGCAAGGCCCTCTGTAATTTCTTCCCTAGACTCCCACAATGTCCGAAGATGGACATGATCTGACTCAGGGGTTTTATCCACCTTAATGTGCTTTAAGGCTGCAAACACCCCTTCTCTGGTAATGTGTATGCAGTCCAAAACATCCCCACTTGTTTCCCTTATTTCCTTAGCATCCATGATTCTCTCCTCAGTAAACACTGAGTAAACACTGACTATGCTGATCTTTAAGGGGACCTATTGTCTCCCTAGCCACCCTTTTACTCTTAATGTAGCTACAGACCCTCTTGGGATTATCTTTAACCTTATCTGCCAGATCCATCTCATGCCCTCTTTTAGTTCTCCTGATTTCCCTCTTAAGTATGCTCCTACATTTTTTATAGTCTCTAGGGATTCACTTGAGCCTGATAGCTTAAACTCAACGTATGCCTTCTTTTTTCTCCTGACCAGAGCCTCAATATCCCTCGTTAGCCAGGGGTCCCTAAACCTACCAGCTTTTCCCTTCCCCCTACAGGGACATACTGTCCCTGGACTCCCATTTGTTCCTTTTGCTCCAAACAGATTCACTCAATTGATCGCTGCTAGATCCTACCTAATGGCCCCAAAATTGGCCCAGTTTAACACCTTCACCTGTGGACCTGTCCTCTCTTTTTCCATAACTATTTTAAAACTAAGAGAGTTAGGGTCACAGGAAGCAAAGTGCTTTCTGACTGACACTTCAGTCACTTGCCCGACCTCGTTTCCTAAGAGGAGGTCCAGTGTTGCACCTTCCCGAGTAGGGCCCTCTACATAGTGATTTGGGAAACTTTCTTGGACACATTTGACAAATTCCACCCCATCCAGGCCTTTTACGCTCTGGGTGGCCCAGTCAATACAGGGGTAATTAAAATCTCCAACCAATTATTCTATTATTCCTGCAGCTATCTACAATCTTTCTACACATCTGCTCCTTTAGTACCCGCTGGCTATTTGGGTGTCTATGTTACAGTCCAAACAGAGTGACCATCCCCTTCTTGTTTCTAAGTTCTATCCATTTGGCCTCATTTGGATACCCCTTAAGAATATCCTCTAAGCACTGTTATTATGTCCTCCCTTATCAAAAGGGTAATTCCTTTGAAATATTCTGCCAACATCCTTGGCCAAGCAGGTCTGCTCTGGAATGCCAGTGCTCATTTGGGTGCACAGAGGTATTTTTAAGATAATGCTGGTGCAAGAGGTGTCAGACCTTTGGCAGATGTTTGCTGAGTGGCGAGAAGTTCTGGGAATTGTGAGTGGTATGATGAGTCGGAATTGGACATGAGGAATGCCAAAACGGTGGAGTTAATAGTTAATGAGATGAGTTTGGTAAGATATGGTGTTTAAATTGTTGTGGTGAAAAACCCTCCAAATAACTCAGACTTGGCTTGAAAAATGTAACATCCAAAGAACAGTTGCCAGAAGACTAGCTTTTGATTACAGATTTTTAAGCCTGGTGCAATGAAACTAACTTTGTCCATATTTCATGTGAGAAGTCAGTGACTTTGAGGGTTTTGATGCATTTCAATAACGTGTTTAATTTTATTTCAATTGTTAATTTATTCTTTACATAAAGATCTTGTTCTGGTTGCTTACTTGTGCTGGAATGAAACCCAACAGATAAAATTTCACAACTGTATACCACTCCTGTGCAAAAAAAGACAACGTGTTAACTGAAAGTGAGGCTGCAACAGTTGCATTATAAACAGAATAAAAGCCTGAGCTAAGATAAAATAAACAATCTCTGTATCTAATCTTTCAGTTTTAGTGACGGCATTGTCGACCAACCAAACAACCAAAACACTCATCAAATGACATATTGTTCCAGCACATTTTATGGAATGGGTCCTACAAATCTCTTACATGCAGTTTTTGTGAACTGCATTTTGGGCTGTGAGTACATTTATACAGTAAACCAACACAGGTCAGCCCTTCCACACTCTATCCCCTCAAACAGCAACATTCCATGTTGGCGTTACCTGTTGCTGCTGTCAGCAATAAAACCAGTATGAATTTTCAAATGCACCAAGCAATGCTGTTGTGGATTATTCAATTGTATTCAATTATCTTTTATTTGCAGTGTGCGCCAGCAATCAGACTTGAATGGGAAGTACAGGACAGCATTGAAAAGTTAGAAGGAGAATATCTGGAAGTAGTGCTTATTGAGAATGGAACTACAAAACAGGACATATTCCCTGTTACATTCCAAGAATGAATGAGTAAAATTAAACCAACTGTAGTTTCTATTACTTCAGGGTTTCACAACAGATTAACGGATGTTGCTGCTTTCCTGTGTTGTAACATTTTTAGCACTATGTTACTTCCAGCAACACATTCAACTCAACACAAATGTCAGTAGCAACAGCTGCTGTTGCATTGTTTTAGTTACTGTTGCAAATATGGTTTTAAATACCTAAGTGCCATGTTAATCCCTTTCTGTGCATTTTTATGAGTAACTTGTACTCCAGTGCAAGTTCAAAATGATTTCCTTTAAGAACATTTAAATCATGAAACATTTCAATAGATAAAGTCAAATTTCATCTTTGAACACATAAACACAAAATCTAGGAGCAGAAGAAGAGCAGATAGCCCATCGAGCCTGATTTGCCACCCAATATGATCACTGCTGATCTTTGGCCTCAACTCCAATTTCCCACCCACAACCCAATCTCTTGATTCCCAGTGAGACCAAGCATCTGTCTAGCTCAGCTTTAAATGTATATTGAGTTGATGGTACACCCTGTAGTGTAGGGGGTTAATTCTGCCAAGTATCCTAATGAAATAGTTCCAGAACCTTCTAAAGAAGGGTCGCTGGACCCAAAATATTAATTCTATTTTCTCTCCACAGATGCTTCCAGACCTGCCGAGTTTTTCCAGCAATTTCTTTTTTTGTTGTGACTAATATACAGCTTCCAGCTTATTACCAAGTAAAGAAAACCTGCATTTATCTCTTGCCTTTCACATCTTCAGAACATTCCCTTATAACCAGTAAATTACTTTTGAAATAAATGCAAAGTTATGAAAATCTCAATGTAAAAATTTGCTTCTAAAGGAAGAATATATGAATTTTGTTTGAAGACAAAACCGAGACTGCATTGACATCTCCATCATTCACCAATTACCCAGATATGCTGATAGAATTTGAATCAGAACTTTTTTACTGTAATGCAAAAATTGTAATTATTTTGCTTCTTTCAAGATGGTAAATTAATACTCTCTAATTAAAAACCAAAAGAACTGCGGATGCAACAAATCAGGAACAAAAACAAAAGTTGCTGGAAAAGCTCAACAGGTCTGGCAGCACTTTTAAAAAAATCATTTGTGAGATGTAGGCATTGCTGGCTGGCCAGTATTTATTGCCCCATCCCCAGTTGCCCTTCAAGTCTTTATGACTGTTTGAAATGTAAGTTTCGGATGAATATTGCACAATGAATTTGGAAGTGGCACAATTGTGGATCCTTCCTGTGGAATATTTTCTCAATGCCACACTTTATTTTCACATCTAACTTTACATATTACCTATGATATCAACTCGTCTTATATTATTTTGCTTTAGGCATTACAGGAAATCTGAATTCCACTTTTACAACATCTCCTGCAGAGGCTACCAGCCTTGGTGAAAAAGAAGTGAGTATACATTACAGGTTAAAGAGCTTAAAACAAGGCCAAATTTATATAGAATGGAACATTTCTATTGTAGGTGTTGTGACACTTTTTTAAATTGATGTAGTAATAAATCAATATTTCAATATTTCTGCAAAATGTTAATTCTCCACTGGGCTATTAATATTATGTATTTAAACTGTAATTATATACATATTGGACAAGTGGGGATTTGTAAAGCCCTAGTAGAAATTTGATAAAGTTTGAAGAAATTAATGATAACAATACATCGGAATTCCAGAGAACTTGTATAGACTTGTGCACCTTTATTCACCAAGGAAAAGGACATGGAGGATAGTGTGAGACATACTAGTATGCTAGGGCATCTGAGGTCAAGAAAGAAGTGATGTTATTATTGAAGACCATTAAGGTGGATACTTCCCTAGGTTTTGGAGAGAGGCAAGGGAGGAGGTTTCTGTGACCTTGACCAAGATCTTTCTAGCCATAGGAGGGGTTCCTGAGGACTGGCAAGTAACTAATGTTGTTCCTCTGTTCAAGAAGTGAAATAAGGATAATCCAGGAAATTATAGACCAGTGAGTCTCACATCAGAAGTTCGGAAGCTATTGGAGAAGATTCTTTAGGGATAAAATTTATGTGCATTTGGGAAAATATGGCTTAATTAGGGACAGTCAGAATGGCTTTGTACGGGGCAGGTCATGTCTTACTAACTTGATTGATTTTTTTGAGGAAGTGATGAAGGTGATTGATAAGGGTAAGGCATGGATGCTGTTTACATGAATTTTAGTAAGGCTTTCGACAAGGTCTATCATGGTAAGCTCATTAAGAAGATAAAGATGTATGGGATCCATGGTGACTTGGACATTTAGATTCAGAATTGGCTTGCCCACAGAAGACAAAGATAGTTGTGGAAGAGTATTTTTCTGGCTGGAGGTCCATGGCTAGTGGGATCTGTACTTGGACATCTGTTGGTGATATATAGACTTGGATGAAAACATAGATGGGTGGGTTAGTAAGTTTGTAGATGATAGAACAATCGGGGAAATTGTGGATAGTGTTGAAGGTTGTCAAAGGATACAATGGGATATAGATCAGTTGCAGATATGGAAGGAGAAATGGCAGATGGTGTTTAATCCAGGCAAGGGTGTTGCACTTTGGGAGATCAAATGTTAAGGGAAAGCATATAGTTAATGGCAGGACCCTTAACAGCATTGAGGTACAGAGGGATCTTGGGATCCTAGTCCATAGCCCCCTGAAACTGACCACACAAGTAGATAGTGTGGTAGAGAAAGTGTATAACATGCTTGCCTTTATTGAATACAATTGAATACAATTGTATTGAATACAAGAGTCAGGAAATGATGTTGCAGTTTTATAAAACTTTGATTAGGTGGCACTTAGAGTACTGCATTCAGTTCTGGTCACCACATTACAGGAATGATGTGGAGGTTTTGGAGAGTGTGCAGAAGAGGTTTACCAGAATGCTGCCTGGATTAGAGGGTGTGAGATAGGATTTAAAAATTGAAGCTGTTTTATTTGAACAGAGGAAGTTAAGGGAACAAAAACAGAAATTGCTGGAAAAGCTCAGCAGGTTTGGCAACATCTGTGCAGAGAAATCAGAGTTAACGTTTCAGGTCTGGTGACCCTTCCTTGGAATTTATTAAGGAAACATTTGGTTGAAAAAATTGGATAGACCAGAAAGACCCTTCTCATTAATAAGGGGTCTGGAATTATGGACCATAACAGAATATTAACTATGTGAGGTTTAAGAAAGAGAACAGCAGAAATATTTTTACACAAAAATGTTGTAAGATTGTGAAGTGCACAGTTGGATTTACTGATTGAAGAATCTTCTGGCTGCTATGTGCATTTATGTTCGATGTTAACTATACAGTCAATGAAACCTGAACAATCCAAATCAGATTCACACAGAGTGGGATAATTCTTGTCCCACGTTAGTTGTGAAATCATAAACAACAAGTAAAGAAGATATTTGTTTTCTTCTAGATGGATGGTCAGATGGTAATTTATAGAAATAGTTAGCTTCAGTTTCAAACTTGTATATCCTCAGAATTGATAATTAAAACTGGGTTTAAATTTGTAAATTATCCAGACAGTATATACATATATAGTATAATGTACAGGACAAATATGTTTGAATTAAAAAAAAGAACTATTTGGATTAAGGGTAAATTGTAAAGGAAAGATAAGGAAAATCTCTAATTTTATAATGACATCACTTCATATAGAATTATTTAACCTTATTTTCTGTTATAGAATAGAACATCATTTAATGTGAATCTTCTGATTTGGACTGGTGTTGGTTTGGGGATTCTTATCTTTCTCACTGGAATAGCTATATTTATTTTCAAGAAGAAACGTAAGTAATGATCTTAGTTTTTCTGATCCACTACCCCTACCTGGAACTTTTACATTGTCGTCCTTATTTTGATAGTTGTAGCACGAACCATGCTGTACAGAAGGAAATTGCAAGTGCAGCAGGACAATGGAAATCTTGATGGTCCACACAAACCACCACCCAGCACCACCACCCAAGAAAGATTGCATTGCAGTATTGTGGGAGGAGGGGGCATCAACAGTCACAGCATTGCTGGCCTTGACGGTGTAGTATGATAGTTGATATGACTAAGCTTTAGGACCAGGGCTAAGGAAACATGTTGGGAGTAGTATTCACTCTGAGCTGCATGGTTGTACGTGTGCGCAGCTGCTCCGACTGTCTACGCAGGGTGATCAACAAGCTGAAGCCATTCACATCATTGACATGTGCAATGGAAATATACAGCTCATTTCAAGTGACTGACTTCTTGACATTAGATAACTTCATTCTTCAGGAATCCTTAAAACGTGATACTGAGTCTCTGTGCTCAAAAGCAATGTAAAGCACATAGACAGACCACCTTCAGGCAAACGCAAAGTACGTGAGCACTAAAAAGAATAAGCAATAAGAGATATCTTTGCAAGTGCATGACTTGCATGTGTGAGCCTATGTGTGACAGGATGTGGAAATCTCTGGCTAGGCCATTTATTACCTGTTATTAATTGTTAGAGGCAGTTGATAGTCTCCCATATTGCTGTGGGTTTGGAGTCACGTATAGGCCAGATAGGTAAGTATGAAAGATTTCCTTCCTTAAAGGGCAATCATTTTTTTTCTACATTTTTATGACAATGGTTGCATAATCACCCTTCGGCTAGATTTTAATTCCAGATCTTTGCTGAATTCACATTTTGCTATTTGCCATAGTAGGATTTGAACTGACATCTCAAGAACATTCCCCTGGGTTCTCTATTACCTGTCCAGTGACATACTACTGCACCTCCACCTCCCGCAGCAGTGGCTGAGCCAAGAATTCAGTGAGCTGCAAGCACCAGGTACCCATTGAGTTATGTCCCAGGAATTTGCACTGTCTACTTTTTCAGGGAAGGAAAGGAGATTTGGAAGAGGTGGAAAAATAGGATGAACTGGCATAATAATGCAACACAAATGCAGGAAAATAGGGTAGACACCACTCAATGTTGGGATTTCTAAGTCACCAGTTAAAGCTTGAGTTGAAAATTGGATACTTCTTGAAGTCGAGATTTTGATGTTTTTTTCATTCTCGCTATATTTTTATCAATTTTCTTGCCATTGCCAATATCACACCAGGAAGGGGAATATTCTACCTTTTTTTTAAGAATAAAAGGCAGAATTCATTTAAAAAATAATAAGACTACACAGCTCAGGATAAAATATCTTCCAAATGGAAGCTGTGGGGATGCTTGCCATTGTTTAACCAACATGCATTTTTGTCTTCTAGTGAAAGTTTTCCAAAAAGATGTCAGGTAAAATTTCAATCTTAAACTATTTCTTTTAAATGTAAATTTTACCACTGGTACTTTATCCATTATTGCACAGTGCTTATTTTTGTACTGTCTGTTTGTGTCCACAGTGCAAAAAGTGCTATTGGAATACACATACATCAAGCGGTGGAAGAAAATATATATAATGTTGAATAACTGACCAAGCTTATACAATGGATGATAGGAACAATTAATTCAGATAATGTGATGTATATATCTTCATGTTGGCATCAATTTGAAAACAAAATCATTCATGGGATGTGTTTCACTGGCTGGGCCAACATTTATTGACAAAGACAGAAATGATCAGTCTGGTTATTTAATGATGAATTTATGTACCTCACTGACTGCAGAACAGTGTCCTAGCATCCAGCTACAAAATAAATCCTTCTTTCCTCTTACCTTCAATATTCCATTGAGATTTTTTTCCAGCAATAAAACAGGAACCACTTGTAAGGCAAACAGCATTTTATCTTGACAGGCTTTTGTGCATCTTATTCTCAGGTGACAAATGGAGAGCCAAAGATGTTCTGTCCAGATATATAACAGACTTTGGTCCTTGGGTTTGTTCCACCATTTAATAAGAAGAGCAGCTCATTTCCATTGCCTTTAAAATCTGTTCCAATCTTGAATGTTCTAATTCTTAAGCATTCACAACTTTTTTGGATGGACATTTCTAAATTGCTTCTTCGGAAAAGAATCCTGATTTCAATTCTGAATGACTAAACTCTGACTTTAAGACTATGCCCCCAAGTTCTTGATAACCCCCATTAGGTTTTCCACATCTGCCTTAGCTAATTCTTTGAACATCTTAAAAAAACTCAACAAGTTCATCCCTCAATCTCCTACAGCCAAGCGAATACAAGCCAAGTTAATGCACCCACTTTCATTAATTAAGTCCAACAAACCCACAGAAAAAAATCCATTAAAATAAGTACTGTATTGTGTTTGGCTTTATAACTACAAGTTAATAAAAGATCATGAGGTAGGCTTGTAGAAACTTGCAGCAGGAACATTTTATTATGCCTCTTTACAGCTGCACAATCCCACCAAGAATGGCCCCCAGGCTCCCCTCTTTTGGGCCACCTGACCCGCACTCTCAAATGGACAGCATGCACCCCCAAATACATATCAAAAACTCCCTTTAACTCCCGTTAATATTGGTAAATATTATATAGGCATTGTAGCCAACATATGTACATAGTCAGGAATGCTTACAAAAACTTGGAAAATATGGGAGAAAGACCCCATCCAATACCGCAACATCCCCCGCCCCCGCAAAATCCTATGCAAGCCGTCCCTTCTGTAGTCTACATCAACATGTCACCAGGTTATAGTCCAACAGGCTTATTTGAAATCACACAAGCTTTCAGAGTGTAGCACCTTCATCAGATGAAGTGAGAGAGAAGCACACTGAACACAGAATTCGTGAGCAGAGAGATCAAAAGAGCACGTAGATGGTGTGAGTGCAGTGTTGAATAATAAGTCTCTGCAGGTGATCAAAAGTGTTAGATGGTGTGAGTAAAGTGTCAACAGCTGAATAACAAGCAAAGGGATGACCTGTAAACTGATTAAATGAGGCAGAGAGATAATTACAAAAAAATAAAAATAAGGTGATGCTGGAGCCAAACTAAAAGGCTGGAATAACAGGATAGGTATATGAGTCGCATGCCGAGGGGTTAACCAAAGTAATAAGTAATCCAAAACTGTACAAGCTAATTAAGGTGGGGAGATCATAACAGTTTATCAAGGTGATGCTGTCAAAACAGAAAAGTAAAGAAGATTTTACAGATACAGAACAGTGTGCTGGGGTCACATGTAGCGCAACATGAACCCAAGATCATGGTTGAGGCTGACCTCATGGGTAGAGAACTTGGCTATCAGTTTCTGCTCGGTGATTCTGCGTTGTTGTGTATCTTGAAGGCTGCCCTGGAAGACGCTTACCCGAAGATCAGACCCGGAATGTCCTTGACCGCTGGAGTGTTCCCTGACTGGGAGGGAACATTACTGTCTGGTGACTCTTACGTGGTGACCATTCATCTGTTGTCATAGCGTCTGCATGGTTTCGCCAATATACCATGCCTCAGGGCATCCTTGCCTGCAGCGTATGAGATAAAGATCATTTGTCGAGGTCATTGCGATTTTTCGCCGTGCCATGTCAGAGTAGGTGATCAGTGAGTTGAGCATCATATCCCATTCTTATGGGAGCAAACTTCAAAATCTTTAGGTGTCTGGCATGTGTCTCCTCACCTGAATGGATCCTGTGTATGCGTAGGGCTTGTCCTTGGGGGATGGCTGCTTTAACATATTGAGGGTGGAAGCTAGGGAAACACAGCATTGTGAGGTTATCTGTGGGCTTGCAGAAGAGGGAGGTACTGAGGTGTCTGTCCTTGATGGAGATGCGTGTTCCCAGGAATGAGACTGATTCTAAAGAGTAGTCCATGGGAAGTCTGATGCTGAGATGAAAGTTGTTGATATCGCAACGTAGTTGTTTCAGTGATTCCTCGCCATGACCCCAAAAGGAAGAAAATGTTGTCAATGTATCTGGTGTATAGGATTGGTCGGAGGTCCTCTGCAGTGAAGAAATCTTGCTCGAACAGGTGCATAGAAATGTTGGCATATTGGGGTACAAATCTGGTCCCAATGGCTGTTCTGTGTCTGAATGAAGACCTGGTTGTCAAAGACGAAGATGTTGTTGTCAAGGATGAAGCGGATGAGTTGTAGGATGGTGTTTGGAAATTGGTTGTTGTTGGTATGGAGTACTGAGGCTGTTGCAGCAATGCTGTCATCATAGGGGTTGCTGGTGTAGAGTGCCGAAACATCCATTGTGACGAGAATTGTTCCTGGTTTCATTGGTCCGTGGGCGCTGAGTTTCTGTAAGAAATCTGTAGTGTCGCAACAGAAGCTGGGGGTTCCTTGAACAATGGGTTTCAAGATACCCTTGACATAGCCAGAGAGGTTCTCACACAGGGTCCCATTGCCTGATACAATGGGACATTCAGGTGTTGGCATTGTGTATCTTCAGAAGGCAGACCTCTGTACCTCACTCTACTGCAAGTCCATGGATAATCTCATGATGCTACACTTCTCTAGTTTCTACCCTAAACATACTAAAGAATCCATCCCCTACAGACAAGCCCTGAACATACAGAGGATCTTCTCAGATGTGGAGGAATGTGACAGACATGTAAAGATTTTGAAGGATGCCCTCACAAGAGCAGGATACAATGCTCAACTCATCGATCACCAGCTCCAACGTGCCACAGTGAAAAAACACAATGACCCCCTCAGAAGACAGACACAGGATATATTGTTCAGTACCTCCCAGAGCAGAGAGACTATGCCATGTTCTTCACAGCCTTCAACGTCATGGATATTGCCATCACACATAGGAACACCACCCACAACATATACGGCCGATACTCAGGTGACTCGTCCAATGTTGTGTATCTCAAACGCTTCAGGCAAGAATGCCCGGAGGCATGGTATATTGACAAGACCATGCAGATGCTACGACAACGGATAAATGGACACCGTGCAACAATCAATCATCGGACAGGAACATTCTCTCTTAGTCGGGGAACACTTCAGTGATCAAGGACATTCAGCCTCTGATCTTCAAGTAAGCATCCTCCAAGGTGGCCTTTGGGTTACACAAAAATACAGAATTGCCGAGCAGAAACTGATAGCCAAGTTCTGTACCCGTGGGGACAGCCTCATCTATGATCTTGGGTTCATGTCGTGCTACATGTGACCCCAGCACACTGATCTGTATGTGTAAAATCTTCTTTACTTTTCTGTTTTGTCACCATCATCTTGATAAATTATTGAGATCTCTCTACTTTAATTAGTTTGTACAGTTTTGGATTACTCATTACTTTGGCTCTTGTACCTCGGCATGTGACTCTTACACCGATCATGTTATTTTGCCTTCTATTGTATGACTTCTGACTTTGCCCCAATCCAACACCAGCATCTCCACATTATTACATCAACATGATCGATCTGTCAGGGGATAACGGTTTCTAGACCATCTCCTTATCTGAGGATCCTTTTCTGGTGTAGTCTCCCAGACATCCAGAAGTTCCTGCCATACAGCAGATATGTCCCTCTGATTGGCTGTGACACTGCATCCTGGGTATGTCCAACCCTGGTTTGGAAGACAATTGTTCAGTTGACAGCATTGTTTCCATCCTGCCCTGGTGTCAATTTTGAGAACTCCCGCCTTTCCTTCCATCTGTCGGTGAGGTTAAGTGAGTAGCTGGTCCACGTGTCTCCTCCAGACTAGTTCATCCTGAGTCAGCACCGTATATGATAAGGGTCTGTTTGAGTCACCACCACCACTGGGATCCATTTATCCCCAGATATATAATTCCAGGCCAACACAAACTCTCCTCTTTGGAATATTCTCAGCCTTAAGGTTCCCACCCTTCTGGCCATCTGTCCTCCTTGATTTCTCTATCACCTTTCTGGTCTCTTCAGCCCACAGTAAATCAAACATAGTTCTCAGCTGATGGTTGAACATTAAAGACACCAGCAAGCACGGAATTGGTGTGTGTGGTGTGTTTCTGTGTGAGCTAAGGAACTTGTTGAGTCACCGTCCTTGTGGCCCCTCCCCTTGTGAAGCCTTTAAGGCCCACCTCAAGGTTTGTACAGATCTCTCCACCTGGTTGTTTGTCACAGGGTGATGATGGAGCTGATCTCACATGTTCCAGGTACTCCTCAAACTCTTGCACCACAAACTGTGCACCATTATCAGCCATGACTTGTTAAGGGTTCCTGAACCTGGCAAATATTTTATCCAGTCAGTCTATCATTGCTTCTGCTGATACTGCCTTCCTGATTGCCACCTCGGGCCAATTGGATTGACCACTAGTAACACCATCCCTCTACCAGTCCTGCGTAATCAATGTGAATCTGCTGCCATGGTGATTGAGGCCATTCCCATGGGTGAGTGGTGACAATGTCAGTGCCTTCCTTACTGATCTGCACTATTCACATAATCCCATTTTCTCTTTCATCTGGAAGTCTACGTTCAGCACCAAGCGTAGCTCCTGGCCATCTCCTACATTTGCACCACACCGGCGCCCTTGGTGCCTTTATTCCAGCACCTTTCCCCTTAATGGGGGAGGGATAACAGCTCTCATTCCCCACGTTAAACACCCGTCCGATACAGACAGTTC